GCGTGAGCGATTGTGGGTGCCCCTCGTGGAGATTCGGACTCTCGCCACCCTTCAGGCCTTCCGGACAGCCGTTAAGACCTGGCTGTCCCAGCAAGCCTGGGGTTGAGTTTCCCCCCCCCCACTCAAATTTGCTGTGCTTGCTGTGTTTTTAAATCGTTTGTATCGTTGTCCTGTTTTTGTCTTACTTTTCTGTATTTGTTCCCCTTCCCTTGGCTTTTGTTCAGCCGCCCTGAGTCCCTTCGGGGAATAGGGCGGCTTACAAATCAAATAAATCCAAATCCAAATCCAAACACTATGAAACACAATTTACTTGTACATTATCATAATTCAGTATGCCTGTTTTCCTGACAGTGTTTTGTATAAGAGCCAAAGATATTGCATGTTTAGATGTGAAAGGCCATTAATTTTTATAAGCTTCTCTGTTATTCTGTGAGTTTTACCTATTTTCTATTCTCATTGTAACAAATACAATTTGAAAGCAGATTTAGACAAGGAAATAAATATGGGCAGCCAAGTAATGTTACTTTATGTAATTAAAGTATTTTTATTCATGCATTCCTTTCTGGTTTTGACCTCAATGAATTGGAAGACTTCCAAAGTAGTATTATACTATTGTTTTAATCTGGTTCACAAGCAAGCTTAGAAAGGTCATTCACTGATGATGGTGACTGAGATTTTCCAATACAGCTGTAGCATAGCTAAGTAGCAAAAGTCATTAAAAACCAACTATGCAGCATAAGGGTTATCATTTACTATTTTCCAGTTTACCAGTATTTTTATCTCCTAAAAATATTGTCAGGATTCAAGCAATTCTTTAAGACATACCAAGGAATTTGGACATCTTCAATGGTACTTCTCTGGAGAGATCATTGTGCCATATAGTTAAATTGCTTTGCAAGTTTCCACCATTTCAAAAGAGATGTGTCAAATGAAGTAGGAGACTATTGGTTTGATGACTGGGGGCAGGCAGACAGATCTAAATACCCAAGACACTCTGGGCCTATCAGAGGCGTAGATGGATGGATGGGTGGATAGATGAATGGATGGATGGATAGATAAATTAGATAAGATAGTTATTATTCCAAATATATGTTTATTTATTCTGTTGCAAATCAGTTGAAATAAATGCAATGTGAATAATATCCCTAAAGCAGCTGTCAAATTTCTGCTGCATTTAGCATTATTTTTCAATGAAATACTTACAAGAGGTGAAAACCATACCTGTCCTTCTTAAATTTAAATGTTTGAGCTTGTGTGTGCATGTGTATACATCTAGACAGATAGATATAGATAAGGTAGTGTCACTTTCAGCTGCTGCCTTAACTGCAATTTAGTGCAGCTAGATGCTTTCTTGTCACATGGTTATAGCTAGGTAGATTAATAGGGAGTTCTGTCTGGAAATTTCTTTCCTGTTATTGTTCTCCCTCAGCTGCTGATGGTGAAGTTAATTCTCTTTAGTTTTGTCATGCTCTGAAGCACACATTGCCAAGCTATGATAAGCTTTACAAGGAAAAATGAGCCACAGTGTCCATCAAAGTCTTAAACTTGCATTTTAAACTTTGGCCTGACCTGATGTGCCATTCAAAATGCTTCAAAAGATTATTTTTTAAAGAAAGGTTCAATATGTCCCGAGGCTATCGGTTTTGAGTTAAACTGGGTGAAGTAGAAATATTTTACTCATCAGCTTTGCAGTCACAGAGTTTGCCTCAGCTAGAACAAAACTGCTGAGGCATTTAGAGAAAATTAACCCCCCATCCTGGCAGCCAGATGTGACTGGTTTCTGATGAATGCACATGAGTGGGCTGAAAAATCAAGAGGCTGTGAAATTCCTGTCAGGTCCGTATAGTGCAGAATGGGCTATTGACTGCTTTCTATATTTCCCTCCATCATTCTTCTTGAACACTACCATTAATTTCCTCTCCCACTCTGACTTATTTTTCCCCTTTCCTCTTTTAGCTCTCTCAGCTGCAAAAGAAGCTGCACAGGCTAGTGGTGGAATACTTCAAATTGCAAGCCCTCTATAACCAAGCCAAACTCGGGAAGTTGCAGGGAGCCTCTCATGAGTCTGTTCAGAAAATATTAGCTGTGAAGGTAGGTGTGTGAAGAAAGGAGAAAAGATCATTTTGATCTAGATTGAAAAGCAAATGATGAGTAGTGTGATGAAGCATTAAAACCATATCCCATCTGAGTTTTGTAAATTTTTAACTTCTTCAATAAACTTGAATTGCATGAAGAATGAATTCAATAGGAAACACATGATTCCTGGATATACAGTATTATTTTTTTTAAAGGGATCTTGCAATTTAAAACTTATACTGGTTGCCAAAATATTTAAGAATGTGATAAATCCAGCTTTGTGTATTATTGCTGTAGGAAATAACTATTTGAGGGTTTTTTTACTTTTATTTTGTGCCAGATAGGTTACCTATTTATGTAAAGATAGATAACAAATAGCATTTACTTACAGCTGTACTCCCGCTTACTATAGCTAAGATTAATCATGCTTGTCTGGCTTTGGAGTAATTTTTTCATGGATTTTCCAGGCATTTTTAGGACTATGTAAATCATCATCAAGTGGGAAGGTAAGTGAAATCTCCCAAAGATTTAGGTTTACCTTAAAAGCCTTCTCAGATCATCTGATATGCCATACTGAACCTTCAGGAACATACTCATTGCCATAAGTGAAGGACTTCTTTAGATGATTTGACAAACCTTATATATATTTATAGAGATGTCTTTATTTCAGAAAATAGCAACATTTCTTTAAGACTACATACCTGTCTTTGAGATTTTAATGGGACTGGAGAAATTTCTGGGGTAAAATGGAAACAGGAATTAAAAATGGCAATGTCCTCTATACCATATGCCACTCTAAACCAATATGATACTTAACATTCAAACACAGACTAGCATATTTCATACTGAATGACTGTCAATCATATCTAGTTTTTAATTTCTTCCTCTTATACAAAGTAGAAGAAAGATGTTCTTTCCTTCAGATACATTTTCCATTAAAACCAATGTTTAGTTCTCAACAACCACCCTATTCATTTCCCTTAAAAGGGAAAACCATTTGAAAAATAACTTTTAATAAGATTACACCAGAATGAGTAAGCAAAAGTTGGCCCTTTACCCAGGATAGCTTGTACATTCATATCCAGGTATAACATATAACTGACTGGAAATCTATATGTTGTATTAATTAACACAGGGAATTCTCCAGTCTCATCCATATCCTCCTCAGGAATGTAAAACCAAGTTCACTAAATAAGTTATTGCTAATGACTGTGATGACTGCTACTGAATTGCTTAGTTGAGGACCACTGGAATAGACAAATGTGTTAGCAAATTCTAGTTCAAAAACATGTTTTTTCCCTGGTTAATCAAATAAATTTCTGCTGAGAAATCAAGCAGAATCGATAGTAACATTCCCCTTATATTGTATATATTGTAATAAATATTTGATCTTGTCTGATTTGAGTCCTCCCATCTCTCTCCTACAAGAAGTTACCTATCAGAGTAGCCATGGCTGATTTGGCTGCAAAACAAAGACTAGAAGCAAGATTGAAAAGTGTTGAGATAATTTGTCTGCTTCATAAAATTCCAGTCTTCTTTCCAATATTTTCTGAAATATTTATATTACTTGACTAAACTAGGTAAGTTAATATGTTAGGGCAGGGGTCCCCAGTCTCCAGTCTGTGGATCAGCATCAGTCCGCCGCATGCCAGAAACTGAGCAGTACAAACAAGTGAAGCCCCATCCACTGGATGCAGGCAGCATACAAAACCATGCCCCCCTACAGTCTACGGAAAAACCTCTCTCCAAGGAATCGGTTCCTGATGCCCAAAAAGTTGGGGGCTGCTGTCCTAGAGTGTCTTTCCTGAAAAATCACCATTCCTAGCTCTTCCTTGTTCTGGCTTCCTTCAACTGGGTTGTTTTTATATTTTCATATATAATTGACTTGCATGCCAGCTTTCTTAGCATTGCTACTCTTTATTATAGTCTATTTTGTATTTCTTTCTATTGAGAGTCTGAATTCTGAATTCTTGAGAGTCTGAATCCTTTTATTCTTCAAATGGCCCACATCCACTTCTACTAGTTCTGTTTAGATTAGTATGAACCCAGCATGCCAGAAAACTAATAGTTCAATCATTTCAGTTCAAAAGAGTCTCAGATGTATCATCTATGCAAAGCAATTCTTCAAGTTTCTGAAGTGGGAATTTGGAATGCCTCAAAAAGATTATATCAACTTTTGTTTCATCTTGAAATAAACCTACATATAGATATCCAAGCATGAATAAAAATAACTGGGGGGGAGGGATCCTTAGTGCCTACTCTGAGCTTGGTTGTTTCCTTGCAGATATTTCAATACCGAAGCTAGGTTACATCACTCCAGTTGCTCCAAGCTCAGAGAGCACCAAGGACCCCTCATTTCAACCCTGACCTACAAATATTCTCCGTTATTGGAAATAACAGTGGAAAAGTAGATATTTCCCCCCAAATTAAAGTTATATATTGTAACTTTTAAACAAGTTAAAAGTGAATTTGATTTATAATAGTAGTAATGTAAGTTTCAAACAATAAAGTTATACTAGACTCAATTAAATTATTTAATTAATTATCTTCAGAATTTAGGCTGCCTTACTTCTTGGCAACCGCCAGGAACAAGAAATCAGGAGCCAGGACAGAGGATAGGTAGATTAAACAAATAATCTTATAAGGACTACACAACTACTTTCTGGATGAACAACCTTTTTTTTGTGTGATTTTTCTGAAAGTAATTAAGATGGGGGCCATACAGTTCCCTGGGGGAGGTCATTCCAAAGGTTAAGTGCTATAATGAGGAAAACATGTTTCCTGAGTCCCATAAGATTTAATCATCAGGTCATTCCATTTAATCACCTTGCATAATCATCAGATCACAAAGTAGCCCCAATCTGCCAAATATTACTGAATGAGCAGAGATTTCTGCCTAGTTCTAATAAGTTAATTTGGTGTTGTGGTTAAGGTGCTGGAAATCAAGATACTGTGAGTTCTAGACCTGTCTTAAGCATGAAAGCCAACTAAGTGATCTTGGATCAGTCACTCATGTTTAATAATGACATAAAAATCACCAATCCACCTCACAGAATTGTTTTAATAGAAAAAAAATCAGAGCCAGTACTATTAGGTTTGTTGGTCTCATTGGATTATATACATATACGTATACATATACATAGAATAAAAATATAACAGTCTAATCATTCAAGGCTTCATCCAAACTAGAGTGACTATCTGTGATGTAATACTACAGTTTAAAGAGAGCTCTTACACTATACTTCCATTGTTTGAACATAATAGGAAATCTTGGTTTAATAAATGCTGACAAATGTATTTGCTGAAATACAACGCATGAAAGGAGAAGGAGGGCAAGCACAAATATGAATTGCAGAGGTATGCACTTCATTCTCAATGTGATAAACTTTATTTATTTATTTACAAAGATAACCACTTCTGAATAGACCACATCACACTTAGAGTTTGCCGTTATGCCAGAGATTTGTATAAAACCTCTCTGACAGATGTTGAAAATGATGTGTTTAGTGGCATGAAGGCTCAGGGCTTATGATACACAACATCTTTTTAAAAACATGCTGTGCATTACCACCAATACTGTAATACTACTGATGATTTAGGACATGTTTTCATGACTATACAATTTACATTTGAAACAATGCTGAATGAGCAATTTATTTTATACCATTATTAAGCATTTTGAAAGATGTTAAAACTGTGTGCAAACATTAGTCCATTTTGTCTGATTAATGCTAACCCATCTTATATTTAATTCTGAGCCTCCTTTCTTAAAATACATCATGCTGGGTCAGAACTTTAAGAAGCTTCCTTGTTTTTGTTACTTCCTGATTTAATTATGGTCATTTAACACAACTCCATTATCCATGCTGCTGTATCATTGATTATAAACATACCTACTGAGCTCTTAATCATGGCTGAAAAGAAGATTGTCTTATTTAAAGGTTTTAAAATTTCATCATTTAATTTAATTATCTTTTCCCAGAAATGAGAAGGAAATGAAAAGCCTCATATGAGTAAAGTATCCATGGGGCAATGTAGAGAAACATTTTTGCCGCAAATTCACTAATTCTAGTTATAATCACCAGCAGTGTTTTTATATTACAGACTAGTATGATTTGGCAAAAGAATAAAATTGCTTTTAAAGTACAAAAATAATTATGAACCACTTGAAACGTAATGTCTGTGTTTTATTTCTCATCAGAATTCATTAGTGTGTAACATCAATAATTTAGCCCATCATTTGCCAACACTGACTTGGCTCAGTAGTTCAATCATGTAACCCTGTAAACTCACTTTCCATTAAAATGAATGTTGCTGACAAAGGATAACTAAAGAGATACTTCATTTATTAGCTAAAGAGATACTTCATTTATCAACATTTTTAAATTAGGAGTTTGGGACCACAGACATTTAGCTGGATAAAATATTTCAAGAAATCTATACTAAAGGACAAAAGATGTATGTGGAATCATCTCATGTTACTCAAAATGACAAATGCCTTTGCATTTGTTTGTGTGTATGAATAGGTAACTTGGTTTATCACACTCCTCCAGAGGCAGGAAGAAGCACTTTCAAATGATCACCTATAAGATGACAGCTTGGCTGTAAAACAATGAAGTCCTATATCTTTGAGGAATTAGGACTGATTTCTCTACAGCTGTTTTTCCATGTAACAATCCATACTGAAGTCAGTCTGCATGTGTTAAACCTATCTGGATAGTGTAGGAAGTAATGAGATGGCTGGCTTAGCTGATACCAAAGACTGAGTGCCTCAGAATCTAACGTACTGTTAAATAAATCAGTATTTACTCATACAGTACATTTCTCATACAAAAAGTCTAAACACAAGCAAATTTTCTTCTATTTCTGAGCAGTATTTCTGAGCAATATTAAGTTTAAAGACTTAATTTGAAATTTATCACAATAACTATTACTTTTCTCCACTTTTAAAAATATTTTCTATGGTATTTAGATTCTTCATCCTAAGAAAACAGGACAATTTTTCAGGGATCTAAACATATACTTGTGATACTGTATTTTAGGCTGGTGCTACTTCTTTCTTTGTGTTTATTGACATTAATTCAAGTTAGGCAAGGCAAGGAGAAATTTGCTAATGTCATACCGATGTTGTTTGGCTTTCCAGTCAGTTGGTGAGAAGGCTTGCATAGGGAAACATACTTGATGTGCCATTAGGCTACCTATGTTTGTCATCCAAATTGATTTCTAAACCACCGTTTATTTCAAACGCAGTTCTATTGTATA